TTTAAACCTGTTTGGGCGTGAGAGCTCTTTGCAAACCCGATGAAAGTCAAAGACACCCAGACAAATATGAATGAACTCGAAATTTTGCGTAGAATTCCAGATTTCTCAGACACCGTCTGCCAAGCTCAGATTGAGATCGGCCATCGCAGACCAGCGACCTCAAAGGGGAGGGGCCCTGGCCGCTCCATCGGGTCCCCGGGCGGAGGGGTTCGGATTCTACGCCAGGCTCCCTCCCACTCAGAGACACGCCAGGCACACGGTCTGAGAAGCCCCTTGAATACAGAGAAATGGATTCCACATGTGTCCCCCATCTCCAGTTACTCAAGGAAAGGTATTCCCCCAGAGGGCTTACCTCTTTGATGTGAAGTCTTTTTTCTGTAAGGGGCAGTCATCATTTCCTTGGGATAAACACCTCCGAGGGTTGATCTTGTCCTTGACTCAAGTCTTCTGAACTCAGTCTCCCTGGATGTTTGTGTCTTTAGTTTCTTCTGTGCCAATCACTGTTCTAAAACTACGTTTTTCTCTTATACTTCCTCTGAAAAAAAATTTTTATGTTCTCTATGGAGAAAAGACAATGAAGAAAATGAGTTAGGGACTCAGTTTTCTCTCCCCCTTGCCTAAAAGACATTAAAAACTCCTACGGTGCTCATAGATGTTAGAAACGGAATGCAGTTGATCGGCCTGGAATAGAACCAATGACTCATAAGGATGCACAATCACAACCAAAGGCTACTTTTTAGTCCCAGCTAGCTGTCCTCTCAATCGTTAGCCCGTGGTCACAATGGCGGCTAGACAATAGTTTGGAGGCCACACACCTACTAAACTAATTAACCTCCATGAGCAGGAAAGCTTGTGATGGTGTTTCAGTAATGGCATCTTCATCTGATGAAAGAAAGCCAAGAGGAGATTCAAGAATCTCATGGCCTTAATCCTGGGAAAGAAATTAAAATCCTCCTGGTCAATGACCAGCTGTGGCTGTGAAGCTCATGGGACTTTGTGCCTCTGGGGTTTTCAGGGCTCTTTCTGAACCCTTCCCATCAGCCGTGATTCCACTGCCCCATAAACGCCTACTCTGTCTGCAAGACACAGCTCAACGCCTGCCCTGTTCGGGCAGAATCACACCCCCGTCCCTCGTACCTACAGCTGTTCACCGTCCCGCCACCGGAGCACGGAGACGTGGGACCTGCCAGTCTAGTAAGGAGGGATAGAGATAGACACATAAACAAATGACTTCATGTAACATCATGATGAAAGGTTAGAATAGAGATGTGTGTGGAGCGATGAAGAGGGTTGGCACACGTGTTTGTGTGTTTTTTTTAATGTGCATTTAGACAGTCTTTGTCCGAAAGAGTCACCATAGGATTAAGTTATAGGAAAGGCGCGTATATATTTCTTCTCAGGCCACCACAAGACAGTGTGACAAGACTTGGACTAGGAAGATGTGAAAGGCCTGGGTTGTACAACTCAGGACAAGTTTTTTGAAATGGGTTAATAAATGATTCCCTGTGAGCCACCTTCTGAACTCAGGGTAATAAATAACTTGCTAACAGTTCAGTTATCAGATGCCACAGAGAAAGAGCCTTGGACCTACAAACATGGACGGAAGTCCGCAGATTACAGATTCGGAGACAACGAAAGCACCTGATTACTAGGGACAGTCTGTGCACCTGCAATTCCTTAGGTGGGGTGGGGGGGATACAGTCCTCTGTGGAAAACTCGAGAAGTCATTTCCTTAAATTTCATTTGTAGCTTGTCTTTTGGTTATGTGACTCCTTTCATAAATACGGTAGAATGGAAATACGAACCCGCAGCCACCGTTCAAAGACCGATTAACTGACAACTTGTCAGAAAGAACAGTCTGAATTGGTTTAGAGTCACCATAGGATTGATAAAGGTGATCTCATCTGAGTAGCAGCCCCAGGCTCTCACTCCTGCTAACACAGAGGCTCACTGATCTTTACAAACGGCCAGCAGAGGTGGCTCTCAATTGATCTGCACTACAGTGAAAAAAATAAACATTCGAAAATGCCGTTTTATTTATTTGATGTAACTATGACCAGGCCACCGGCCATGTGCCAGAGCCGGCCTGGGGTAGGCAGGTGGCTGGCCCTGGGGTGAGTATTTCAGATAACTTGATAGCATCATTGCTCTGGGACGAGGACACCCACTGGAGCTCATCAGGCCCAGTGGGCTCCCGCGACACGTGTGCAGGGCGTTCCGGGGTTACGGCGGGGGGACCAGAGACTCGGCGGGGGAAAGGAGAGCCGCTATTTCTGTTCTCTGCTGTGCTCGTTATTTTTTAAGAAGAACCTCTTTGATGTGATGTTCATTCGCATCTCTTGCTCCCTCAAGTCAATATTCTTTTTCATGTGGGGATTTTGAGTCATTTTTGTACTTCCTCTTTTAAAGTTCCATTAACCCCAATAAATAAGAATTCTGATTGCCTGCTCCTGGGCCGGGGGGTGGGGGCAGACTTCGTTACCACTGATGTTAGCACTTCACCTCTCTTCACTGCTGCCTGGTTCTTAGAGTTGGGACTGCGCGGACCCCCTCAGGGTTAAGGGCTGTGGCGGTCCGTGCCCAGTCAACAGTGTTCATAAGATATTTTCTTCACCTCATTGAAAACACCTTTGAAAAGGACTCACATATTTTTATCTGGTAACTACATGCTGCAAGTATTCTTCCTACACCCACTAGACAAAGCTCCACCCAGAAAGGAGCTGGACGTGAGGCAGAAGGACACAAAGTTGATGATGTATGACTGCATTCTGGGAGGCTCAGTCCAGACTAGGACAGTAGGGACAAGCCCACGCAGAGAAATCCTACTAGAAGTGCATAATGGGATCAACACTCATGGACTCCCCTGGTTCAGCGGAACCAGCTAACTTAGGAAATGTGATGAGAGAAGATACTAGTTCAAAGGTGAACACTAGGTATGATATTGGGGCAAGAATCCAGGCCTAAGAGCTAAGCCAAACAATAACCTTAAAAAGATGATTGATTCACAACTTTAACAGATAAGAAGGGCCTAAAGCAATGTAACATCTCATCTGTTAGAAGTGCTGATTCTGAACGTATATTCTTACGAGAATGCGTCAAGAGGGTATCTCTTATTCTCTGCAGAGAAAGGGAAAGAAAAAGCATTATGAAGACGCAGACACAAAATTGTCTTGGAGAATTATGACCGAAACAATGCTTCAGAAAATTGTGAACGAGACCTTGATGTCTACACAGAAGTCAGAGGCCAGGATAGACAGATGTGTGACAGGAGAAATTTCAAAGAATCGTTGGTAGATACAACGACATGTTCACACACTCCGTCCTTGCCCCGGGCACGTAGAACTTTATTTCCCAGCTTCCCCTGCAGTTGGGTTGGGACACTGTCATTAACCTCACATTGGAACTGCAGTGTAAATAGTGTGTCGTTCCGAGGCAGTTAAGAGCGAGTGTGCCTTCTCCACGTTCTCTTCCCCTTTTGCATTACCCTTCGAGACTGTGTTCCAAGTGTTATTGTCTTAAGGTTGAGAAGGGTCTGTGGCCATACCACCCCGAACGTGCCCGATCTCGTCTGATCTCAGAAGCTAAGCAGGGTCAGGCCTGATTAGTACTTGGATGGGAGACCACCTAGAAATACCAAATGTTGTAGGCGTTAAAAAAAAAAAAAATCAAGAGGGTAGGTGGAAGCTTATGAGAGTCTGATTACTTTTCGATATTCTCTGTAAAATAAAAAGGCCATCAGCTAAGAGGAAAGACGTGCGAGATGGCATTTTGAGGCAAAAGTTTAAACAGTTCAAGAAAATCAAGAAATGGATGAGGAAAATATACTGACTACCAGCTGCACTGAGGGCCTGTTCGAGATCGAACACCGTGAAGTGAGGTCGGTCCCGGTGAGTCCACCCGACCTGCCGTGGACGGGGGCCGGTGCGCAGTGAGTAGATGCACGGTGGGGCTTAACCAGGCTGTGCTTTTGCCCAGCAAGCACGTCGAGGAAGTATGAGCGGGGGGCGAGTTTAAGGGGAGCAAGTAGCTGTCAAGCTGGGTGTTGACGCCAGCACTGTGGTCAGGTCAGGCAATGTCCTGGTTCTTGGAAAACACGTGCTTCGGTATTTAGGGATGAGGCCATGACGTCCCAACTAACTTTCAAATGGCCCGGCCCCCAAAATGTGTATTGTGTGTGAAAGAAAACCAAAAATGTTACCTGTGGAATGGGAGTAGAGGTGTGTGGATAGTTGACTTCTCTATGGATTTGAAAATTTTCAGAGTAAGAAGGGGAAGCGTGAGGTTTTTACTAATTTTATTCTATGAAACGTAAAGTTTAAAAAAGGCAGAATTTCTAAATGGACGTGTCAATATACTGAGATGTTAAACAGACGTGTCCAGGTAGGTTAACAAATGCAAGTTTATCTGTTTCATTTTCATGCCAAGTCTATATATTCAAACTGGGGAGGCATCGAAAACTGGAAAATCCGTAGGTGGCAACATAAGCACAATAACTGGAAACACGGAGCTGAGCGCAGCTGCTGGTGGGAAGCGGGGAGGCCTTGGTGGTGAGGGTGGGGGTCGGGGGTATGTTTTCCTGTATACGCCTTATGAAACTATTTAATTCTTCAAATGTCATGCATGTGTAACTCAGTATTTTTAAAAATCCAATTAGAACCGTTTTACTTTGTACCTCTGGTCTCGCTGCTCCCTCGGTTTCCTCTTCGTTCGTCGGTTTGAGAGCTTTTTACTTAACATCAGAAGAAGTAAAATGGGGCGAAGTGGCAAGGACACTGAAAGCCTTTTCTGTACAGACGCGGCTCCGCTTCTCCCCGCACGAATCTACTCCTCGCGAGAGTTCACACTTACGTGAAAGTTCAATCGGCTTGTGGGCGGCTGAAATGTGATCAATTATGTCATGTGATGCTGCTAAAGTTAGTTTTTAAAGTGGCAAAAACGTGAATCTATGTTCAGAAAAACAAACTTGTAAGTTCTCCTTCAAAGAACAGAAGAGCCGGCAGTTAATAAAGACAAGTGTTCAGATTTATTTGGAAATTCACAGTTTCTAATGGCACTACAGCTCCGTAGTCACACACTGAAAGTCATCTTCCCACAAGGCTGGACGCGCCACACGGCTGTGACTCCCGCCCGCCTGCTCTCGCCTGGACCTCTGTTCTCTGGGTTGCTATACAATCAGGCCCTTGTGCTCTGAATGGCTAATTGTACAGACTGGAAAAAAAATTGAGTCACCTAAAACATAATGTTAACCTAAAGCAGCAACTTAAACAAACAAAAAAGGCTTTAAATAAGTCACATTACAAACAATACCCCCAGAAAGGTATCCGACAAGTTTAAAAATAGTTATTACTAAAAGTGCTCAATAAGTTATAAGTTAAGTCTTACAACACAAAACGGTCAATTCTCTCTCTTCCAAAAAGAAACTTTCCACGTTCACTCATTACTGTACAAACACATACCAAGAAATTATTTTACTCAAAGGAAAAGAAGGACAAAATGCAGCAGACACAGTGACGTCACACGTGAAAACCTCTGCACGTCGGTAGCCAATTCAAAGGGAACATCAGGGCTGCCAATCCCTTCGGACCTGACCAACTCGACAAGGCTCCACGAACTCACTAGCTGGTTCTGCGCACGTGTCCACAGGACGTGATCACAGCACGCGAGGCCTGGACTCATTTGACAAACCTTCACATTTTCTAATTGCAGTAATAGAAAGTCTGGAGGAATAGTGCTTATTGTGAATGTTTAAAATGTAATGTAGCCAAAGAAAACCTTTACAAGTGGTTAAATGTGTTGAAAAGGTGAATTTGTAAAAAAATTTATTTCGCAAATACTAGTCATCTGTAAGAAAAGATCTTGTAGTTTTGTTTTCCTCATTGAGTTAGTAACTAAAAAAAAAAAATTTAGTGTGAATAAGTTAAATGAAAATCCTATTAACAGTATCACCTTCTACCTAAAAGAACAGACTGTAAAATTCCAGCAAGTGCGCGTTTCCAGTGAGTTCGCTGAGCAGAGGTCTGGCTGGCAAGTCTTCGGGATCTCTACACTGTCTGACCCACATCGCCGAACTCCAGGCGCAGATCACCTTAAAGCCTTGTAGTGTTTGTAGCTTCGAAAAACTAACGAAGTTATAAAAGAAATCGAATGACAGAGAAAGTTCCCGCTCCTCTTCCAGTGGCATTATAAATAGACAAAAGGCACATAAATATGGGAAGGTGCAAGAAATAGGGACAAAGCTAAAGGAAGAGGTTTAGGCTCCCATCCCTATCCCACCCCAGGAACCGGGCGTCCAAATTATTTTGGCCCAGCAATTGATCTGTGAAAAACACATCTTATAAAAGGTCTGCCGCTGTCCCTGTGGGAGTGGCCGGCCGTGCGCAGCCGCAGCTCATTAACCAAGACGAACGCAGCCCCACCTGCTTCGTAAAAAGGCCGAAACCATAATTTCTGAATACTTTTCCCATTAATATTTTCTCCCTCCCCCGAACCCTTCAAATACCACAGACTGTTCTCCAGAGAACAACGACAAAAAGTCTCCAGTATGAAAAGTCCGACTGATTCTAGATCCGTCCCGAGACCGCTGTGACACCAAACGTTCCCACGGTGATCTCCTTGTTCCCCCTGATGATGTCGTGCAGGCTCGGCAACGACCCCGACTTAGTCTGTATCAGGGTTTTTAGCAACTTCCCTTGGTCTTGGACTTTGGAGCGCCTCCGTTTTAAAGCCCTCTTCTCAGTCTTTGTCTTTTGGGACTGTCCATTGCACAGACTCGTGCAAGCTGAAATGCCACAAAAATAAGACTCTTCCGACTGTGACGACGTTTCCGAGCTTCCCTCAGACGGGGGGCCCTTGTGAGAAGAGTGATAAACCCCTCCCATGTGAGAAAAGTCTCTCTGGTTCGTGAAGGGCTTCCTTCCTTTTATGTCTCCGTTGGCCACAGGGTGCGGTGGCTCTGCCGGCTTTATGGTCTCGATCTTTTCTGTTTTGTACTTGCAGCGTTTCTTCTGTAGCGTGAGTAAAAACAAGGGGCAGGAATTAGACCTGAAGGATAGTTAACAGTCACCTGAATGAACATGCAGAGCTGAGCTCATGGAGGAAAGTGCCACCTCCTGGTGAAAAGTAAGACAGTGTCATGGACGGCACAGCACACTGCTGTGTTCTGTGGAGATACCATCACCCCCTTCTTATTCAGTGAATACCAATTGAATCTCCCCCCTGCCACCTCTGAACCCAGATTCAGGGCGTGGTGACTGACATCTGAATGTCTAGCATGTGCCAGATGCTACACGAGCTGCTTTCGTGTATAACTTACTAACCCTGAAAGGTGAGGGTTTCGGCCCTGACATTTGGGTCCTTGCTCAAGTCACGACACAGGAAGTGGCCAGGCTGGGACTGAATCATAGGCCACGAGGCTCTAAAGCCCACGTTCTTTCACCTGCAGACAATCGCCTCTAGTCGAGATGAGCACAGTGGACCGCGCCGTGAGGCGCACGGGCGAGTGCCCGCCCTGCGCTGGATGTGCCTGGCGCCCGACGCCTAACGAGTACCAGCCAGGGGCCAGCCGGCTTTGCCTGAAGGGCCACAGCAACTACTTGAGGCTTTGCAGGTCACATGTTACGTCTCTGGCACAATCTTTTTTATTTTACAACCCTTTGAAAATGGCTCCGAGCTCATACGACACAGGCCACAGGCCGGATATGGCTTATGGATCCGTTTGCTGACTCTAAACACTTTTTTACATCAGTACCAAAGAAACAGGAATGTGAGGGCTACTGAAAAAGCAAAGCTTTCAACCTATTTCTTCATCTACTACCACATAACACACCGATGCACTTGAAAACAAACAAAATATTACCTTTTTTTCTGGAGAGAACTTGAGGGGTTCTACAATGTACAAAGCATTTGGGTCTACTATAAGTAAGAAAAAAAAAAACAGATGTAAAGGAGATTATGCCATGATTAAACGCTACAAAAACATTATCGCTTAGAGACTTTTCTTAATAGAACCGATAAATACAGATGCATAGCAGGCTGCCCACGTACGTGTGCACCGTAAATTAGGAAGCCCAGGCGGCAAGGCGGGGGACGGCGCCCTTCTCACGCTGGCCTTCACTGGTCACCTCCCAACAACTTCCTTACATTTTACATAACAGCTGGCTATCGGCCAACACAGTACGGACCCTCTGTGGGCCCAGTCCTGCCCTCTAACCTGATGAGGAAAATGACATTACCCAGAAAGCTCACACCAAACCCCAGATCATCTGGATTTCTCCCTACGAGACTGAACTCGACCCTGTGGCACAAACGTGGGCTAACGTGCAACGAGCGGCTGTGAGCATGTGAAAGTCAGAGGAACACACACACATAGGCCTAAGAAGTGTTTTCCTAATTGCTTATTATTATCATTTACTATGATCAAAATGATGAAATCCAAAACCTAAAAACAGCTGGAACATGCAATGTAAATGACCAAGCGATCATGAATAAAACACTCTGGCACGGTGAGTAAATTAGAAATATTAGTTTTTGGTTTCTAAAATTTCATTTAACACATTCAAGACAGCCCTACGCCCCCCACCTCCACGCTGACAAGGTAAACAAACATATAAAAGAGGGACTGTGAGACTTTAGTCCTCGTCAAACAATTAAAGAGTGAGTGATTCATGGCATGAGGCAGAGGTTTACAAGCAGCAAATTCACTATAAAACTTCAGACACAAATCTACCAGTGGCATGATTCAACATTTTTACATCATGTCCTAGAAACTTACTGAAAAAGTCATCAAATACATAAAAATATTCAAACATTCCTCCGAATAGTCATTTCTATCAGATGACTAATCTCACTCAAATTGCTTTTTATAAAAACAAGATGTCTGCTTTTGGAATGGCCGGCATTATGCAGATCAACCTCTCCAATGAAAGCAACTAAACACGAAGTAGCCCCCAGGCCAGAGCTGAAGGCCTGGAGGGAAGTAGGAATCTGAACAGTCAGTGGACACAAAGCCTCCTTGGTCCTGACAGGGCTTGTCAATGCAAGAAGCCTGCGAACCTTAGTTCTGAAGGCGTCAAGATGGGACCCGTTAGAAGTTGAACCTCGGGGGCCACCCAAAGCAGTTTCTAAGACACCCTCCCCGTCTCCACAGTAAGTGGGGACGCCCGGGCAGGGAATTACAGGCCAAATTCCCATCACCTGATGGTCCAACAACCTCAAGTCATGGCTGTAAAGTATTCTCGAATGTAAAGCAAACAAATTCTCTCTGGAATAAAGACCTATATTCTAGCCCTCGAATTGCCCCTACAAATAATTCTCAAAGAGAAAGACTAGCACACAAAGATACACAACACGTTGAGCAAGAGTCTGCAGAGACAACGAACAGATTCAAAAGAATTTAAGATATCAGAATTATCATGAAAGACTATAAAGACAGTTATACTTACTATATTTAAAGAAAAACAAGCTTGAAAATATCTGTGGGAAATAGAAAATGCTTAAGAAAAATACTAAAAGAATTCCCGGAAAGGGAAAACATAGTAAGTGAAATTAAAAATTCAATGGATAAATTTAATAGCAGACTATAGATAGCTAGAGAATGTGAGGCCTGGAAAACAGAAGAAATTACCCGAAATACAGCACAGGGAAGCAAAAGGGTGTGAAACGAGAGTATCAGGAGACAAAGTGGATACAGGGAGAAGGACTAACACAATTAAACAGAGATTCTAAACGATCATGAGGCAGAGGTAATATTTTGGGGAAAAAAATAATAGCTAAGACTTTTCCAGTATGATAAGATACCAATTCAGACAGTCAAAGAGCCCAACAAATTTAAACTGGAGTAAAAAAGAGATGTGCCTGTATTCACAAAAAAAAACCCCAAACTAACCTATAAATGACTAAAAGGCAGAGTGAAGATGCTCAGCCTCATCAGTAATCGAGTAAATAAAATTACAACTGCCATGAGGTTAGCACTGAAACTTGACCACTCTAAGCGTTTATTGGAAAGAATGTAGACTAATGGGAATTCTCACCGTGCTGATGGAAGCATCAACGGACATAGCCACTGTGGAGATATTTATTATCATAGTGTGAAATATAAGCGTACCCTACAACCCAGCAATTTTACATCTAGGCAATATTCCTAGAGAAAATCATGCAACTATGTTGCAGTGTACAAAAAAGGAATGTTTACAGCAGCATTATTTGCAATAGCCCTAAACTGTAAGCAACAGCAGAATGGATACATACTTGTGATTTAGGCAGTTACTAAAATACTGTGTAATATTGAAAAGGGAATGAATCACATACGTGAATCTTACAAACAGAATGCTGAAGGAAAGAAGACAGACGAGAGTACACATAGTATAATTCCATTTATCGAACGCTCTAAACCAGGCAAAATTTAAATTATATTGTTAAGGAATCCACATTGATGGAAAAACCATTAAGAAAATAAAAATATGATTATTTCAAAAGTCAAGGTAGGTACACCTCCAGAAGACCAACATCAAGCGTGCTGGCCTTGCTCTACTTCTTGATCTGGGTTTTAGTGACAGAGGTGTTCACTTCATAACTACGTGACAAGTTGTATATTTTAGTTTTATGAACTTTTTATAAATTTCACAATAAAATGTGTCACAATAGTCAAAACAAATTTGGTCCATCTGGCCAGCCAACACAAGTGACAGAAGTGCAAATCAAAGTATAAACACACAACTTCAAATGCTTAATAAGGCAAGGAATTGTTTAATTTGCCAATTTCGTATTATTATATATCAACTTTGTACAAAGCACTAAGCCTTATATAAAAATAAGACATGGGACATTACAACAAATGCCACAGAAATAAAAAAGATGATTAGAGGCTACTGCGAACAACTGCACTCCAACAGACTGGAAACCAAGCGCTGGACGAATTCCTAGAAACGCACACCGACCAAGACCGAGTCACACAGACTGATCGGCAACAAGGAAGGAGACTGAGTCAGTAATCGAAAACCTCTCAACAAACAAGAGCTCAGGACCAGATGGCTTCACCAGAGAATTCCACCAAACATTTAAGAAAGAATTAACACTAATCCTCCTGAAACGTTTCCAAAAATTTGAAAAGGAGGAAACACTTCCAAGCTCATTCTAGGAGGCCGCCATCACCGTGATACCAGAGCCAAAGGCACTACAAGAAAAGAACACTATGGACCAATATCCCTGATGAATACAGAAAGAAAAATCCTCACAAAATACTAGCAAAATGAATTCGATAGCACATTAAAAGAATTATACACCATGACCAAGTGAGATTTATTCCTAAAATACAAGGACTGTTCAACATATGAAAACCAACCAATGTAAGTAACATACCACAATAACAGAATAAAGGACAAAAACCACATGATTATCTCAAGTGATGCAGAAAAAAGCATCTGACAAGCATCGACACCCTTTCATGATAGAAACACTCAAACTAGGAACAGAAGGAAACTACTGCAACATATTAAAGGTCACTCGTGAAAAGCCCACGTCTAACACAACACTCAATGGTGCAAGATGACAAGCCTTTCCTCTAGGACCAGGAACAAGGCAGCTTCTACCTAATACAGTACAGAAGTCCTGGACCGAGCGATTAGCGAGAAAAGCTGTTTAATGGACATACAGTTTCAGATTTACGAAGTGAAAAAGTTCTGGAGATGTTTCGATTAAAAATTTCAGTTATAAAAAGATATACTAGCCAAAAGAAGAAAAAAGCAGGAAGGAGGAAGCGATTTACTAGTCCTAAGCAAACATACGCAAGATGGGTGTTAAGTCTGTAAACTTTTGTGGTAACAGCAAACCAGTAAAGCTCAGGAATGATTACTTGAATGATTTAATCAACTGAAGCATGCTTGTCAGTTACTAAATCCTAAAGGAGAGAGATGCCAATGATTAGGAAAGCGCTCCTAACTGACATATGTTATTAGCTTGGTTATTTTAATACTGCTATGAGGATAAGTCTCTTAATACACACTATTTAAAGTGCCACATAGAAAAGTTTGATGTAGGAAAACGTCCACTCAGTACACATCCATTCATTTAAATTTAAGTATTTCCACTGAGTGTTAGACAACAGAATGCCGTTATAGACTCTGGGCCATAAAAAAGAGAAAGAGTAGATTTTTTTTCCAGAAATGCCTTGTAGTCCTAAACTAGAGACAAAACGAATCCTACCTGTACAGGAAGAGGAAGCAGATAAGCACAGGATGCTATGGGAGCACATTCAGGTTTTCCATATCTGCTGAACTTTCTCAAACATCCCTTTCTAAAAAGAAATACTTCTAAACAGGGGCGCGTGCAAACACAGCTACCAACAGCTAATTAAACTGGCCCCCTCCCCGCCCTCTGGGCTTTTAGGAACAAAGACAGAAATAAAGTGTGAAAATAATAAGGTGGCTTCGGCGTAGCACAGACACAAAGGTTACTTATACCCGCTGTTTGCTGCAGATGGTCCTGAACACAACATGGACATTATACAGATGCCACAAGCAAGCTGGCTTCGATTTCTATAAACAGACTGCAAAGGCACAGAAATTTACCTTCTTTACCAGTTAACTGTAGAGACTTGGACCTGATGAGTGGGAAGGAAGTTCTCCTTTTCAAATTCATATCATCATAGGAAGAGAAACACCTAAGACATTAAGAAACATCATCACTGGGTACAATGAGTAAACTACATGTAATTTACTCTGTAGTGGGGGCTACATGGGGACTCACGCCACAAGGGACTCATCTCTAAGGTAACACTCCAGTGCTTGCTAATAGATGCAAAAAAACACTGAAGGATCATTCTCTAAAAAGTACAATATTAAAATACCTATTTCCTCTCCCTTTGAATTCCACATTCAAGCATCTTTCACTAGCAAAACATTTCAGGGTTTTTTTTGCGCTGTTAGTGTTTTCTCTATTAGTCTACAGAGCCTCCCAGCACAGAACCATCTCACTAGTTCCGATGATGTTTTTAATGTTTTGATTTCAAGAGAATAAGATGGGGAAAGAAATGATCTCAGTATCAATTTATCTGCTCCAATTTCTCAAAAATACAAGGATCATAGTTAAAAAAAAGAAAGCTGAAAAATACGATGCCGACATTACCTTTTAGGGCTCGGATACTGATCATTCTTAGGAAGTTTTGAAGTGTCATCTCCATCAAAGTGAGAGATGTTTCGACAACGTTGCATACACAGCATCAGTCCCAAGACAACACAGAGAACCAAAGATATGACGAGATAGCTTTGTCGATCTGAAACCTGAGATGAGAAGGGAATGATAATAATGCTTTAAGAATCGCACCAGAAAAAATACAGTGGGATTTAAGTTTCAAAGGACAAATCATTTTAAACATTTTTCAACGGGCTTCAAAACCACAAACGCAGGGCATGATGTTTACAAATGGACTATTAACTAAGGCGTTTTATTTTTTATTTTTCCCCAGTTTGAAAATTACCAATCTATGAAAAAGTTTGAAAAACTGTACGATGAACACATTCCTGCCTTTCAGCAATTTTTAACGTTCTATCTCATTTGCTTTGTTCTTCCATCTGTACTATCTCTTTACGGGCAGGAAAAAAAATCATGCTTTTACCTAGTCTTCCCACCTTATAAAACCGAAACACCGATCCTCCAGTTATTTAAGCCAAACCCTGGGGACCACGCATCCAACCTGGCAGCGGGGCTTGTCTTCCCTCCTCTTGAATACATCCTGATTCGACCACCTCACGCTGTTCTCCGCATCTCCAAGCCCAGCCCAGCCTGCATCACCTCACCCAAGCTGCTGCACCTGCCTCCTAACTGGCCTTGTCCCTGCTCCTGCTCTCACTGTTCCCTGGGAGGAATTCGCCACAGGGCAGGAACTGGGGACTTTCTGGTAATGCTGTCTGGGAGCCAATCCATGTCACTTCTGTACTCGATACTTCCCAATGGCTTGCAACGGTTATAATAAAATCCAAGCGCTAAATGCCTCCGAAGGCCTGTGTGACCGGGCCCCTGCCACCACCCTGACTCGCTTCTCTCAGCCGCTCTGCTCCAGTCACACCGGCTTTCTTTCTGTCCTCAAACACATCACACTGTTCCCAACCTCCGGCCCTTCGCTGGGCCAGGCAGCCGTCTGACCCCAGCCTCTGTGTGGCTAACTCCTCCTGAGCACCAGTTCTAGCGCCGCGTCCGTGGACAAGCTGGACGTCCCTCCGGTTAAAGCGGCCACCCCATCCCTCCCCTCGCCACTCCGCACAGACGCACTACGTGCTCTCTCCTGCCGTCCTGCGCATGGCTGTATCCCCTGTCCCCCCGGAGGCCCTGTGAGGCCAGGGACTAGTCCCCGCTGTATGCCCCGACCTGGGGCTGCAGAGCCCATGCCTCACATAAACTGGCTGCTCGAAAAAAATGTGTTAAATCAATGAAATATTTGCTTTGTTAAGCATCTTAAGCCTTTGAGAACTGAAAATGAAGTACGTTTTGTAACTATCGATAGTTTGCCAAAGGCCTAAAAGAATGGCTTTATAACTAACTGTATTTTAGGTAAGACCAAAACTATGAAAGCCATGTTTCCAAAAGATTATGATCTTTACAACTTTATAACGTCACATTCTGGTGTTCTGAAAAGTTTTCAACAAATGACAATTTTGTCTTAGATACTTATTCTTAAGAAGCCTGCCTTTCCGACAACCTCTCTCTACGTGTCTTACAATTCCAATAGTCACAGTTACCTCACGTTTTAATTCTGCTACTGTTGCGGATAAGTTTGAAACCAGCTGGGTCATGTTGGTCAGCTGTGCCTGTAACAACTGGATGGATTCAGTTTGCCGCTGATCCTGTGATGAAGGAAGAAAAAAGTATTACTTTTCTTTGTGCTTCATCTGTACATAAGCTAAACTGTAAATAAAATAATCTGGAAAAACTAATAAGTTCTTCGGGTGGCAGAGATACTAATAAGAAAAGCTCCTAATGAATGAATATCATAAACTTTGAGTAGAAATTTAAAATAACAAAAGATACTTCAAGAATCTCAAACTGTTCAAACCTCCCCCTTCCCCTGAAAATCCATTTGCCACTCACTGCTACCATGTAGAATATTGTCTAACAGAAGTTAATCAATTACTTTTCAAGTTAATATGGGCTCCATATGTATTAAACCACCATATAACCAGCTATGTGCAAGAGTCGCTTTGTTAAACACGTGTCTTTAAGCCAAAGCAGTTGGCATAAAGACACTTAGAAAAAATTCTGAAGACTGTTTTCGGATACAAAGCAGGGTCATACCAAGGTTTTAAAAGTTCTGTTTTATAGCTTATTAGGCTGGAACTTAAGATATTACAGAGTCAAAAACTTACAAGTGATTACCTAGTCAATGCTAGAATCTATTGCCAAAGAAAGAAATTCACCCATCTTCTCAGCTCTGAATTTTAGAACTTTAATAATCACCAAACACGTATTTATCTAAAATATAATAGGTTTATAACCATGAGTATGATGCATATTTTAGGGAATTATGCATCATACTCACGGTTATAAACCTATATTAAGTAGAATGTACTGAAAAATTCAGCTTATTAATGAATTTTGGGAGGAGAAAAAGGGCAGGAAGAAGCCAAGGAAATCAAACACTTTTAACTTAGGACCCTGTATGAAATAGCTATGTAACTCAAGTTTTTCAAATTTAGACTTAAATGAATTTTAAGTCACAACTGTGTGTTAGTGTGTGGGGGGAGGGGTGGGAGTGGGAGGTAGGTAGATATATAAAACCACAATAAAACCGTGTGTGTGCGTGTGTGTGCGTGTGTGTGTGTGTGTGTGTGTGTGTGTGGCGCGGGGGGGAGGGGTAGGGAGATACGTAAAACCATAACAAAACTTTCACTTACTCCCCTCACTATGATCCACCGAACTTTCTACCCTACTCCATCTTTTTAAAATGCTGAACGTGACTCATTAAACTGTTTCTTTTGACTGACATTTGAAAACACCGATAAATTCTAGACAGTTATAAACATTTAAATAGATCGGTTAACACTTCGAATCAAGATTTACTTCTGACAGTGTTAATAATACACAAGTTTATTTGAAAGTACTTAAACAAGTCTTTGAGATATTAGGCACAGATATTGCATATAAAGCAAAGAGCAAATATACAGGAGAAATCACTGTATTAACGTTAATGAAGAATTAAGTGAATACTGTGTTCATGGGTCAGAAGACTTAATACTGTTAAGATGTCAATTTCCTAAATTGATCTATATAAACTCGAAATAATCCCAACCAAGATCCAAACAGTTTTTTGGATCAAAGCTGGAGGATCACGCTATTTGAGTTCCAGCTACAACACAACAGAGCAGTATCAGCATAAAGACAGACAAATAGATACAAGGCACAGAAAAATGGCCTAGAAACACACATACATACATATATATACACACACACACACACACACAATATATATGTACACATATATAATATATATGTACACAT